TGTCCCCTGTGGTGTCTAGATATGGAGGTTTTGCTATATGGTTCTGCTGTGTGCAAATGCTTGTTTTCTTAGAGGCCCTGTCAGAAATCTTAGGGGATATATAAAAGGAAATGTCTGTTTGAAAGAACTGACACAGTTTTTACATAACATGCTAATAAGCTTACACTTTTATCATTGTTCAATATAAATACTGTCTCTAGACAGATATGAAAAATTAATTCCCACAGAGTCACTAGAGAGCAATTTTTTTACATTTACATTTCTTTCCATTGAAAGAAATTACAGAATACACTTTGCTCGTGAAATTTGTATTTTCCTATGTTAATGAAACGATGTATCTTGTATCTAGTTACTAAGAAGTTTTGTTAAGCTTTAGAAAAAGCATCTTTTAATATAATGGTAGTCCACAGGATACTCTCCTTGTTAGGTATGTTATGATTGGCTTATTAGTGCTGCCCCTCCAGATTTTTCTCTGCTATTAAATAGCTTGCCTATGAACAGCTGTTGTGACTTATTGTGTGTGACTGTTGTGTGTTAAAAATGCTTTCAAGTATTTGTTCATTTGTAAATCATTGTAAAGTGTATTTGCATATTTCAACTACATCTGTAGTCATCACACCATGCCATCTCTGTGACTCGGAGATCACAAACCAAGTTTACTAACATATCTGACAATATTCATTACAAATGTGTTTGAAAGACTGATCAGCCACGCAGTGATATTGCTAAGGTTGGTGTCACCTAGCGTGGGAACTCATGTTGTCACCCCCCCATTGACCACCTTCTATTTCACACCATACAGAATCCTTAGTAATGCTTATTTGCATTAATCTTACTCATAAATCATAATTCCCTTATACCAGTGAATGTAATGCTAATAGTTGTGACATAAACAACTAGCAAAATTAAAATTATACCTTCAATTACAATATCATAAGCATAACCTAAGTATATTTACATATACATGGTGAAAATTTGGTTAAAATGTAATGTTTTAATGGAAATTTAAAAAGTTTTTTTTAATTAAAAATTATTTTTTTAAAAAATTAAACTTTTGAAATTTGAAATTTTAATTTTAAAAAATTCTAGTCCCCTCCTTTCTTCTCCCACTGAGCTTTACCTCACTCCCACCATCTCTTAAAATATTTTAAAGAGATACAGGCAAATGCCACAATGTTTCTGTCCAAATACAGGCGTTTGAGCAGCACCCCCCACCTTAAGATGTCACTTGGTGCAGTCCGCACCCCCCTAGTGATGCAACTGCAGCCATTTAGGATTACTGAGTATGTCTAATTACAGAAGGTTCATTGAATTCAATTGATTGGATCATTGATTGTATTTTCCCATTATTCTTTATCATTTTGAAAGATTAGTTTTTCAAGAAGAACAGGTCCCTCCCTTACCTTTTTGTGTACACTGTACAGTTAATACACTGTTCACATTTATTACTTTATGATAAAATAGGCTCTTAACCATAAAGGTTCATGCTCCAAAAACAGCAGTAAGTCTTTAAGGTGGCTTAGGACAATAAATCCTATTGGTAATCTCAGTTTAAGAAGACCCACTGAATCAATGGTAACTTGTTAAATCAACACTTAAGGTCCATTGTTTCAATAGTTCTAGCTGGGATTAATTCAGGCCTTGGTCTTTGCTATAACTGTTTCTCTAGAATCTGCTTGCATTACACATCCCTGTTTTCCTTTTTGCCACATATATCACTTAATTTGGTTGATTTGTAATAAGCACAAGGACAAGTCATCTCAACCATTAAGCTAATTTCTAATAAAAACCCTTATTGCAGGTTTTACTTGCTTACAATGATGGTTTATAGGGTCCATTTTATTAATTTCCTCTGCAGAAATTGAAAGAATTCTTTTAGTATAAGTAAATGCATTATAATTATTTTTTCTATTAATTTAAATCACAGCTGTCTGTGAAAATGGATGTCAAAATGGTGGCCGATGCATTGGACCTAACCGTTGTGCATGTGTATATGGTTTCACAGGCCCACAGTGTGAAAGAGGTAAGAATTAAAAACTGGATGAAGTAAACATTTCAGTGCTGTAATGCTAGGAACTGTAATATAATATAAGAAGAAATGCATGAGGAGAAATTGTACATTTGGTATACAGGTGATGAATCATGTGGTATGCTTAGATTAAATTATAAAATGTAAAACATTTTTGGGCTGTCAGACTTTTTCAAACTGACAAGGGTTGAGCTTTTAAATCCTGTGCTATTCAGATGTTAAGGTTTATTTGTCGTTTTAAATACATTTTGATATTTTTAACTTTCTAAATTGTTTAATTGTTTTTTAAACTTTATATCAATACCTTTTTAATACTTTTGTATAGTTTTTAATTTATACTGCTTTAAATATGTCATTAGCAGCCTTGAGTCCTTATATTGAGAGAAAGGCAGGATATAAATAAATAAAACCACCACCACCACCACCTCCTCCTCCTCCTCCTCCTCCTCCTCCTCAAATTTCAGTCAGTGGGTTGCTTCTCATGTTCTGCATTGTGTATTATTTTATTGCATTGTGTTTAAATTAGTCCATTTGGAAATTTCAGAAATCTTTTAGTGTGGAGGAATCACTTGCAATATTTCTGAAGTATAAAGCCAAACATCTGTTGTTGTTATGTGCCTTCAAGTTGTTTCTGACATGGTGACCCCAGTGTGAACCTATCATGGGGTTTCCTTGACCAGATTTGTTCACAAAGGGTTTGGTTTTGCCTTCTTCTGAGGCTGAAAAAATGTGACTTATCCAAGGTCACCCAGTGGGTTTTCACGGCTGAGCAGGGATTCAAATCCTAGTCTCCACAGTCGTATGCTCAAACCACTGGATTAATCATTCAGATTAATCCATTTTTTTTTAGAGATTACATTTTAGGTTCCAGAATTCTTTTGAGTAGTTTTGAAACGGTATTTTGTTAGTTATATGTACAGCAATGATTGAAAGATCTGTAGTATTGTTTGTTTGGATCAACATACTATTGCCAGTTCTACTTTTCTATCATATTATGGGCATTCGATATCTGCGGGTTTGAGCAACTGTGAATTGAAATAAAGAAGAATGATGAGAATTTTTTGGCTATATCATATAAGAAATTCTAGAAAAAAGGGTGTTGGGATGAAAACTGAAGAAAAGGGAAAAAATGAGTAGAATTTAATACGAAATAAAAAATAATAATTTTTTTAGTTTGGAGACTTGTATACGTAATAACTAAATTTAGAAGAAATTGACAAGTTTATGTTAAATAAGATGACTAAAATGTGTTTGGGAAGTTTCTTATAAACTGAAAACCTAAAGCGACATTAACCATTTAGGGGGGATGCAGACTGGCGGCCATGGGCCGCCCTGGGAAGTGGCGGATTGGTACCAAGGCTGCCCCACACCTCGGCCTCGATACTCCCTTTCACCGCCTGGGAAAGGAGCATTAAAATAGCGCTCCTTCCACAAGCCACTAAAGGGGTGCCCAAGAGCCGCCATGCAGCTCTTCTGCTCCTCTTCCGGCTCAGCGCGTATGGATGCTGAACCGGAAGGACATCATTGGAGCGCCCGTCATGTCTGGCTGCTCCTCCCCTTCCTTGGCTTGAAGACAGCGCAAAGCTCCATCTGCAAAGCCCCTTATTTGCTTATATGTGACTATGTTTGTGCTAGTATGTAATGTGTTTGTATGTAATGTCTGTCTGTTTGTAATGTTTTATAATAATAAACTTCATAAAAGAAAAGAAAAAAAAGAAACAGATTTAATCCACTGCTGCCGGTGGCTTGTTTGGGACTGTGGTGGTGGCCTGCTTTGGGAGCCTGCCATGCAGTTGCCATAGTCCCATAGCAATCACAGCTGCAGCAGCCAGAGATTGCTACTTCATGCCTATCTGCTTCACCCCACAATCACTACAGCCAAAGCAGGAAGGATGCATGTTGCTGCAGCTCCTGCTACTGCCCTGGGAATGCTTCTCAGTTTGGCTGTAGTCAAACAGAGGTAATTTTTTTTATTTTTAATACTGACCTGAGCATCCATGGTGGGTGGGTTTTTGGGGTTTTTTTGGGGTTTTTTTTTTTTTTTTTGTATCCTTGGAGGGTCCTGGAACCAAACCTCTGTGGATACTGAGGACCCATTGTAGTTTCTTGAAACAACTGATAAATTATGTACTTGCTAGTATACAAGTGTATAGTGTTGGGAGTTTAAGGAAAATAATAATAATTTACAGATGGTTCTATATCTGTTGTATGTAGTAAGAAACTATGGCTGCTTCACTTTTGCTCCATCCATTGTAGAACGGTCAAAGTATTGTGTCATGTCTGTGATAAATGTTGGCATTTTTTCTCTTTATGTAAAAAGCAACTGTACTTTCCTTCTTTTACTACCTCTTTTGTATGTACACATAAACATCCACCCTGTTTGGATATTGCTGCAGTAAATCTAATTGTGAAGTCCAATCCTATGCAAGTTTGCTTAGCAGCATGCCCCTAAAAACCAACAGCTTGTGGACTGAGAAGGGGGCACTTCCTCCAGTTTGGGTTTCCTTCCTCAATAATGGACTGCTCTGACTTCTAGGATTGTAACTTTAATTATGGTTATTATTGTGTGCCTGCAAGTCTTTCTGAATTATGGTGGCACTATCATGTAGTTTTCCTGGTAAGATTTGTTCAGCAGGGGTTGCCACTGCCTTCCTCCAAGACTGAGAATGTGACTTCCCAAAATCACCCAGTGGGCTTTCATGGCTGAGTAGGGATTTGAACCCTTGTCTCCTGAGTCCTAGTCCAACACACAAACCACTACACCATGCTGGCTCTTTGTAACTTTATTAAAGTACACAAAAAGAAAGCTATGAGATAAAGTATAATGTTCAACTAGCAGTTTGTTCTGCATTGTACAAAATAAGCAGTGGTTGATAAATAGCAAAACAATAGTGTTATTTCCCTCTTTATAGCTTGACAATTTAGCAATATTTCGTAATTTGAAAACATGCATTTTGTAATCAAAGTTTCCAAACATTCCTTGCATAAATTGTGTAACTATTTATACAATACAATCCTGTCTATGTTTTCACACAAGTAAGCTGCTAGATAGGGCTTATTTCTTGGTAAGTGACTTTAGATTCTAGCTTCAAAGAATTTATAATGCTAACATTTATGTTATTTTATTTGAAATACAGAGCTTTCATAGTTCTGTAAATTAAGGTAATTTAAATTAGGCATTTTCTTCATAATATAGAACACATGTAGCTTTCCTTCAGGTTGGCCTCCCAAACTTAGTGCTGTGATAAAGCGTGACTGCTTGTTCAGCTATCTGGATTTCTTACAGTCTAATTTCCGGCTTGGAGACAGGAGACTGAGCAGTAACTAATCACTGGCATGATTGCAGTATATTTAACTTGAGGATTTGCTGATGGGTTACAAGAAAGTAAAAGTTCTTTTGGATCACCCTAAAAGCCACACTTCTCCATCTAATCTTTTGTACAGCCCGTTATTTTTGTGGTCCAGTCTGCTTCTTTGTTGTGAAATTATAAGGTTTGCTTCTTTATTTTAAAGAAAATCTGGAATAATGTTCTTTTATGGACTACAGAATATTTCATTTTATATGATATGAGTTTCATGCAAATTATGAGAATTTCTGTTTTCATGTGAAAGAGTGAAAAACAATTCATTTTAATCATTTTGAATAAAGACTGACTTAGATCCAAAGTTACGCTTTAGTGTTTATTAGATTTGTGCACTGCCCTTCGTCTGGTAGATTCAAGGATGATGGATAAGAATATATGTCATAAAACCATAGCATTAGCAATAAATAAGGCAGAAACTAAAAGTTTGAAGTTGGAAAGGTTACTTTTTGATTACATCTTCCAGAATCTCCTGTCCACCAGGGTCTCTGGTTAACATTTGGAACAGACGTAAACAAACAATAGCAAAACTAAACAAGAATTAAGATAACAAAGGATTACATTTTAGGGGAAAATAGGAAAGGATTGCTCTGGACTAGCATAATAAATAAGCAAAACACAAGCATAACTGACTCCCCAAGTGTTGCAGTGTTGCAGTGTTGCAGAGCATATGAGAGTTGACTTGCAAAAAAGTAGGGGGAAAAACCCACCAGTGTTTGAAATGTCATATTGAGGATGGAGCAAGCTTTCTTTCTTCTGCTGCTCCAGAGACTAGGACACAGAGCAATGGATTCAAACTGCAGGAAAAGAGATTCCACCTAAACATTAGGAAAAAATTCCTGACAATAAGAGCTGTTTGACAGTAAAACACATTTCCTCAGAGTGTGGTAGAGTCTTCTTCTTTGGAGGTTTTAAACCGAGGCTGGATGGCCATCCGTTGGGAGTGCTTTGTGTATTCCTGCATGGCAGGGGGTTGAACTGGATGGCCCTTGTGGTATCTTCCAACTCCATAATTCTGTCCCTCCCAAAAGCACTGTGATTGGACAGACCTGATAGAGTGGTGCCCCAACTGGAAATTTGAGATGTCAGTCACAAAATTGACACATTCTCTCTTCCAGTTGCTTGCTTTTCTTTTGCTAAAATCTTGAGGGAGATTCAGAAATGTATTATATCTCCAGGAGGAAAAAGGTAAAACATCCATGTGGAACTTGAAATTGTGTCTGATGTTTAGGAGCTGCTAACTTCATTTTCAGACGTGGTCCTTTTCACTTCAGGCAGAAGATGGTGGTAGGGAGGAGAGCAGTCGTGAGCCTCTGGAAGACTGACAATCCACTGGCATATGAGTATAGAAGGGAGGATTCGCCAGTCCAAATACTTTCAAAGTGACACATTTTGTTTTGCTAATTGGGCTTTATTGAAAATGGATGCACATCCTTAAGTAGTCTATCTTGTGGTTACCAGAGAGTGTATAACTGTGGATACATATGGAGATTGTCCAACTCCAAACATGGTTTGACAAGTAATTATGTAGATTAGGGTGTATAGTTGCATCATATTTGGAGAGCAGTCCAGGGGTGCACAGGCTTCTAAAAATGAAGCAACCAAACCAAACTAGAAGTATCTGTAAGTTCATATATGGTTTTGAAAAATGCTTATGAACACTGCAGGAATGCCATAACATCTGTTTAAAAGGTGAATTGCTGCCCTTGGTTCTTCCAAAAGAGGCAATTTACCTTTTTAATTACTAGAAGCAGGGTGGGGATTTGGAGGGGTAAAGGGGTATAAAAGCAATCTTTGGGGCTCCATGTCACCCCAAGGCCCCATTTTCTGTACACCTAATTTAGATATATTTTTGGATTGTTAGGGTACTGGAAACACTTTAGTACTGTGATGAATGTCAAGACAACAATAAGATTACAACTTCTATTCCTTTAGTAACTGTAACATACCCTCCAGCTGTCCATATGCTTACATATATTTATCTGTGAAACTGCTGAATGAATCACTGAGCAGTTGGACTGAAGTGTCAACAGTGTGTTAGTGGGAATGATTCTCTTACAATTTTCTTTAGCCCATGATAGTCTGTGACACTAGTCTATCAGGAGCTATCCAGAGCTCCAGAGGCTAGGACATGGAGCAATAGATTCAAACTATAAGAAAAGACATTCTACCTAAGTGTTATGAAGACCTTGACTGAAAGAGCTATTCAGCAGTGGAATAGACTGCTTCAGATGGTGGTAGCTTCTTCTTTACTGGAGATCTTTAAACAGAGGTGGGATGAACATCTGTCAGGAGTGGCTTGATTGTGCATTCCTGCGTATCAGGAGGATTCATTTCGATGGTCTTTGTGATCTCTTCTAACTCTCTGTGATTCTCTGACAGTGCTTGGGTAGAATATGTTCATACTTTGGAACAAAAAAAGTATGTTCTAAGCTAGTGCTACATGAAATGGGTAGTCTGTGAGACAGTGCCAGTCTGTGTGCCACGTTCTTTATGTCTGTGATGAGTTTCAGGGAGAAAAAGAAGCAGTTGAAACGAATGGCAACAAATATAGTGCCAGGCCCTGGCAAAATGAGGGGAGAAATCTTCTGGTCCTTGACATCTGATAGCGTAAGAAGCATTATTTTCAGCTTGTGTATACCAATTTCAAGTTTTGGAAATACTACAAATTTCGTATTTCATTCTTATAAAAGGCTTCTTATTACAAATACAAAAAACAGGCAGAGAAAGTGTGACTTGACTAAGATGCATAATGAGCATGGCAGAGAGAAAATGTGAACATGTGATTTTCAGGTCTGTGGCTTAGTTGCTTAGCCATTGTTTGTATGTTGCAAATTTTAGTGAAGTACTTGCTCTGCTTCCCATATCATATCATACCATATCACTGCAATACTGATTGAATGCAGTTCTTGAGTGAAGGTTGTTAAATCGTGTCCAACTGTATGGGGCAGTGCTGATCTCTGCTATTAAGCCGAAGAGCCAGCGTTGTCAAAGACAACTTTGTGAGCATGTGGCCAGCATGACTGCACAGAATGCTGTTACCTTCCCACTTGCACTTTTACATGCTTTCAGACTGCTAGGTTGGCAGAAGTTGGGACTAGTGATGGGAGCTCACTCTGTCACATGGCATTTGGGCCTCAAACTGCTGACCTGCCAATCTTACAGTCTTCAGACTTAGCATTTTAAACACCGAGCCACTGCGTCCCCTTGGATAACAAATTCATTGTAATAAAAATGCCCTGAATCCAATTATAAGCCCCATTCAGAGTAGAAAAGAGTAGAAACTTAATGTAAATGTTGACCTCCCACTGATTATCCTTGGTTCTACTCTAGTTCGAACTACCAATTTGTTTTATGCTAAACATTCCAGATACCATTTTTCATGAAAAAGGATTCAATTTTTTATTAAGGGTTGTCTACACCAGTGAAAAACACTAAACTTGCCCCAAAAGCGGTGCTGGCAGTCTCCATTATGTATGGCTACTTCCAGGTAGGATCCGTAATTTTTTTGCCCTTAACCTGACTTTGCTCTGAAGTAAAAAAAGTTGAGGAAAACCTTTCAGTTTCCAGGAAAATGAGGAGTGCCTGCAGTTCTTTTAAAATATTGTTGTATTTTAACTTGTTGTACGCCGCCCCGATTGCTCTGCAGAGGGGCGGGTTACAAATAAAATTTATTATTATTATTTATTATTCTTTTGGCTGTGTGCACAGCTGGATTGGATCTGATTTGACCAATCCAGTTGTCACTTTCCCGCCTGACCTCAGTAGAAGTGGTGGTGTACTTGGCAGGCTTTCCACAGAGCCCCTGTTTGCAAGGAAGCAGTGGTGGCAGCTCTGGAAACAGGGAACAGGCCAGCAGAGCTGATGCAGTGTTGGCCTAGCTGGCCCTTGTGGACACTGCTGCATCATCAGAACAGATTTGGCTCAGTGAGTGTGTCTGCCATCATGAATGTTCTAGGATGAGCCAAGAACATATTGTTCCAGACTGGTCCCAGATTAAGAGACCAGTGTAGACAAGCCCTAAATCTAATAGTTTAAAGACTATAGAATTTTTAAAATCATAACTGAACTATTAATTATTCCAGATTCATATTCACAATTGAAATTTCCATACTATTTCAGAGAAAACAGATATTTGAAAAAGCTTTTATTAAGATTTGTAATTTTGAAGTTTATCAGTGAACTGAAGTTATAGAGTTGAAAGCTGAAATGTTTTTGCAAACAAGAAAACTATTTGTTGAAGCTATGAAAACATGAAACATAGTTCATAGAAGAATCCCAGAAAGCTAATGAAACAAAATGAGTCTTGTTTCTTGCTTAAAATGGGCAGGTGACTATTTTTGTTCCCAGTGGTGGCCATTACAGGACAAAACATTGTTCCATGAATTAGGAATGGCAGTTGCATAACAA